TCAAACCTGCTGCTTTCCTGTGGTGGATTTCCTCTATTTAGTGATTCTGTGGTTAGCAGTGCCCGCACCAGAAAACCTGCAATCGGAGCTGCTCACTGTCTTGGAATTTAGCTAAGGAGACGGAGAGGGACCTTGCTTTGAAAAGTGTTATTTTGGCTTCCCGTTTTAGACCCAACCTGTATTTTTGTTCTCTCTGGTTTGGCTGAGCCTTCCCTGACAAATGTTGTGGAGACTTCTGCAGCAAACTGTGGGGAAGGAGCAAAGGTTCCCTAGAGCCCGTCAAGGCATGTTAGGAGACCTTTGGATTTCAGGAATCACGGTGCATAGGAGGAACCTTATTAAAAACCCCTATTCAAGCAAACATCTGGGTAGAATGAATTAATTTTGGCCTTTATAAACTGCTGGATAGGCTGCACTACTCCCCATTTGTTTCTGAGGTGCTGCATGTTGACCATCTCCTTGCCCTGTGAGGCTCACTCTTCACCTTCTTCTTCCTCACCTGCTTCTGTTGGCCAGAACTTTGTTAGTAGCTTGTAGAAACCTGTCACTGCCCTTAAACAGAAGGATAATATACAGGTAATTTACAGAAGAGTAGGGAAGTGTGGATAATGAGTCCTGCAAGTGTGGTAACACAGAGATATAGCAGTGCTTGCTAGTAAGTTATTAAATATATTACAAAATATAAAAGGTCAGCCTGAAGCAACATGATACAATCATCTCTGATTGAGGTGGAAGAAAATACACAGAGAAGCTAAATGAGTTACCCAAGGCAATGGGTTGAATGACAGATTGAGAATTGAAAGTTGTGTTTGAAGTCATGCGGTCTGACCGTTAGAGTGCAGATAAATGACATTTTTAATCACTAACTTATGTAAAAAACAACAACAACAACAACAACAATCAAAATCCATCATCCCCCAAATTCTGTGTACCAACACCTATGCTCATTCATAGAGAAATATTAGGTAACCAATATTAGGTAACCATTACACTATTAAAAGGAACCTACTCACATACTTGCAGCTCAGTAGAAATCCAGAAGTATTTCCTTTGTCTGCAATTAAAAACAAAAAGCAGTTTAACACCTTTACTACCAATTTAGCTAGAGGAGTATTTACTGTAACCACTGTATTTAAGCAGATAAAGTAGATCTTTCAAGAAGCAGATGACTCACCCGGCTTTCAGTGCAGTGGTCCTCCCTTGAAAGCTAACCTGCAGGGAAGCTGCTGAAAGAGCCGCAGCCCCAAGGGACCCAGAGCAGCACGACTGTATGGGGACTGAGCCGTGCCCCAACGCACCCAGGGTTTAGCTTTCACGGCATAGAGGAGAGTGTTAACCAAGAGTTTTCCTTCTGTTCCAGGCTATCAAATGGGACGGATGTCTTATGTGTTTCAGAAGAAAGTCTGAATAAGAAGTTTGGCTCGCTGGCTCTGAGCAAGTTGAATTTTGACTCTACTTACAGCGTTGTGGTTGCTGCCTCCAATGAGCTAGGCAGTGCTTTTTCACAGCCACTCGTGTTCATGTTAATAGACATAGGTAAATGCATTACTTATCACCTTTCAGTTAGTCCCAGCCCTTTAGAAAGACATGAAAACATTTTGAGCACTTTCTTGTTTAAACCTCTCAGAAAAAGCACCCATCCAGCCTAAACCAGTAATTCTATTTTCCACGTAACCCCCCCGTTCTGAGCTGTGCTGCACATCTAAGTGCTGTTTGCTTCTTTCTGTTTTTGCTGCTAGTGAAACCACATCCTCCCAACTTTTTAGTGGAATTTGAAAATTCTTCTGCGACCAACTGCACCTTTTTTTGGCATGAGGAAGCACACGTACAGCACTGCAGGCTGAGATACCGTCCACTTACCAGGCACAGCTGGAGCACGGTAATCCTCTTCTGAATAAAGAAGGTTATGATCCTTGGAGGTTGCTTTAATATCGTATTTCTTACTAGAATCACTTTGTCCAAATTTGCCTTTCTCTGCTCTTTAACACCATATTTAAGAAAAACTATTGCCTACTGGTCAAAAGTGATCATTGGTCTGAAATTGAATGAGGGTAAAACACTGATCCTGTAATAAAGCACGTGCATGAATATTTCCCCTTATGTCAAGTGTCCATATGATGCACAGAAGAATCAGAGGTTATGTTTGACCCACCACTTTGCTGGAAAATGGTCATATTTGCTCATTGTAGCTCACAGCTACAGGCATGCAATTTCCAAATGTTTGTGCTTTCCCTAATGTTGATTGGAAGTCTTTGCTTTTATTTTAATTAGTAAAGGAAATGTATTGCTTAAAGTTGAGTAAAACACGTGAACAGAAAATTTGTTCTCTTCACATAATTAAATGAGGGATTTTTCTGATGAAGAACTGCAAGCCTGATGATTCATCGCATTGTTCTTTGAGTTATTAAAGTTGCCTCAGATCAGGGGTTTCCCCATTGTTTTTTAAAGACGTGGTTTGGCTGGCTGGGCTTCCTTTGGGCATTAGTAATTCAGCCTGTCACTGTCTTCATCCTTTATTTCTTCATGAGTTTAACATTATATGTCCTTTATCTTCATTAAAGGTTGAAAGCTTAAACAGTGAGAAATGCAGTCTTTATGGTCTGGAGCCTCATACAGCCTACGAGTTTCAGGTCAGCTGTAAAATTCACCCTGAGCGAGGACTGTGGAGCAACTGGCGTGCGTACCAAACCCGGACTCCAGAAGCAGGTAACACAAGACGGCATCTCCTGCACTAAGCCTGTGTCTAACCTTTGCATACAAGTGGAGACTTCAGCTGATGAAGTCAAAATGCTGCTGGGTTTTTGCTGGTTGGTTTGCAGAGCCTCTGTAGATCCAGACACAGAGCAACAGGGAAGTAACTTCTGTAACAGAATTGCTTTTTTAATGAACTAAAAATGAAGCTGTTTGAGTTTCTTGCAAAAGAGGAATTTCAAGAGTTCACTGAGAAGGTCTGAAGGATATTTTCATTTGACTTGGCAGTGTTAGGTTAACAGTTGGGCTCAATGATCTTAAGGGTCTTTTCCAACCTAAATGATTCTATGATTCTATGATATTGCGGAATTTTCTCCGCATTGCCCAGGGCCATAGTCGCACATCTGGAAAAGGCAGAGACAGTTGTGCAGCTTAGCTGGGGAAAGAAAAGTATTCTGTATTGGTCCATATCTAAGCATTTTACTGAATTTCTGCAACAGCCCCATACTCAGGTCAGGATGACTGCTATGTCACCCTCTGGTGCTGATGAACCACAGTTTGGGTGACACGCTCTGGGTCCTTGAGCTCGCCCAACAATTTGCTGAGAAGTTGAGTGAATTGGCCAGGAAACTGCCTGGACTCTCTCAGTTCTGCTGATGCTGGCAGATTTTAGTAGAACAGTTTAGTTTTGCCAATTCATTTTTTCCCAAGTAGAGAAGTTCTTTCATTTGGAGCCTCCCCAGGTGGCCTCCTCCACCATGCCGTGGAGTTGCCGGAGACCTGGGTAGCTTCAGCAGAGCAGAACCTGGCCAGGCATTCGGGAGAGAGAGATCCCACCAGGAATTAGGTGAGCAAAGAGTGTTTCTGCTCCAGAGGACGGCACAGCAGACTCCAGGGACATACAGCACCAACCTGAAGGCAATCCTATTAGTTTCTGCCAACTCTAATGCTGGCTGCCTTGGGCTGGCCGCGGGCTCGCATACCTGCCTGCCTGACTTCACCCTGAGCTGCATGAACTCACATACTGCAATACTTTCAGTTCTTACGAGAGTAGAAACCTTCTCAGAAGTTTGTGTTTCAACAAAGATGTGTCAGCTGCCTTGGCATCCCCTCCTTTCATCTCCTACTTGGCTTTCGTTGCTCATTTTTGTGAATTACTATAAGCTCTTCAGGCTAGTGCCATTATTACTCATGCTACTTACCACTACTGACAGCATCAGTTTCTGTAAGAAGCATTGATTGATGCAGAAGGTGTGAACTTTTCCTTCCCTCCCCCACCTTCCTCTCAACAGTTTTCGCAACCTTCTTGATGCACCCTGGCTTGCTACGGCATTTGCGGTCATCACCCCTCTACCCAGCCGATGCCATAAACTGAGAATCTTTTCAGCTAATCAAGGAGCATTTTCTGTCCTCAGACTAGGTAACAGCAAGGGGAGGTTGCAGGCGAGAAGCTCTGGGTACATCATGGTTGCTCTTCTTTGAAGGAGCTGACATTCTACACATGACTTTGGCCTTTTACAAATTCAGGAGTATGCCTTTTCAATGAGCTAAGTTTTTTCCTGTTTCTCTGACCTGCCACAAAACTTGCTTTAGGCAAGCACTGTTCACAAGTGAGCTTTTCTTTTTCTCCAGATAATTTGTGTGGTTCGCATGCAAAATTAACTTTAAAATCCAAGCTGGAGTCCAACAGATGCAATCCCATATTTTATTTTTTCCTGCTCTGAGCTTGCCCCTTCCTCCCTCGCTCACAGCGAGTGTGCTCTGGTTTTATTTCTTCTGTTGGTCGTGCTTCTTGTTTCTATTCCAGTCACTATGTGCAGTTAATGCAGGACAAATAGCTCTTAACATTGCTGGCATTGGGGATTTTCTTCTGTCTTTGAATTTAGCAAATAGCAGGCAGCCCCATTCTAGCTGGGACTGTCCAACAGCTGCCTGCTTGCTTAGGCTATTAGTAGCAATTATTATTTGAATTTGATGAGGTGAGGTATATTTCGGTGAGGGACCTTGAAGAACCAAACTTCGTTATCTTTGGTCACATTGGCTTTCTTTATGTGTCTTTATCTGTTTCTGAACTGTTGGAGCACATTGTCCACCAGTTTCTGCAGCCAGAAGTTTGCTTTAGTGTTATTTTGGAAGGTTTATTCAAAACATCAAGGGTTTCCAGTCACTCTGTGACTATAAGGAGAATCGCAGAAAGAACAGGGGTTTTAAGCTACCTCTGACAAGGTCCTACCCAGCTAGGTGTTAAAGACATTCATTGCCTAGAGCCAGACAGTGAAATCCTGCAGATCCTACAAACCGTATCACCTGAAGCTGTCTGTTGTTTTAGGGTTGATGTATCTAACCCCAAGGACCTTAACTAGCTTCAAGTTCTATGCAAAGACGAGAGCTAATACTGTCACTTTGATGCATAGGCTTCCTCAAGAGCCATCCTGATTACCGAGTGCAGGAGAGCGCAGCAGAGCAAAACCCTCTCTCGGGTTTATGGCTTGTTCTCTTCATGCGTACCATCATGTGGGCAGTCATCAACGCAGCTGAATTCTGGCTGCAACAGCAAATACAGGCTATTACATATTGCATCATTTCATTGATGTTTTAAATCTTAAATTTTAATTGTCTCAGGATTTTTACCTCCTTCGCCTACCCAATGTCTTGTTTGTTTGCTTCAAAATACAGCCAGTAATGCTGCTCACTTTTTCCTTCCACACCAGTGCCGACCGGGCTCCTGGACATCTGGTACCGACAGCAGGACGTGGACTCTCAACAGCAGAACATCTCTCTTTTTTGGAAGGTAAATTAAGTGAAACCTAAGCAGATGAGGGGGAACTCTGGTTTACGTGTTCACAGGAAAGGACTGAACCCAAGGAAAGCACAGGGTTTTACCAGTGCCCAGTGACAGGGACACGGACCAGCTCTGCTACCCAAGGCTTGCCTCCCCAGGGAGATTCAGCAATTCTTTTCTACCTACAATTTGCCTTTTACAGTTCCCCAGACTTCCAGTCGTGCTGGAAGTATAACACGTTCCCAGCACATCGCATCAGTGAAGAGAAGCAAAGGTATCACAGCTCAGTTACCACCTTTCAAAGATACATTCCCACCCCCTTTCCACGAGGCGACCTGCGTCCCTGATGATATATCTAAAAAGACAGATAACAACCTTACAGACTTCCTAATTTGTTTTCTAATTAATATCTCCCTCTCCTCGTTCTCCGCCTCGTTGTTGTTTGTCATGGTTGCCATACGTGGCCAGGACAGGAGTTCTGGGAGGCCAGGAGGACACCATGCCCCGTGTTCTCCATATGCACACACCTCGTGTGTCTGCTTTTGGACATGAGCTTCCTTCAGAGGTGTTTCTGCTCTGTTTTGCTTATATGAAGAACAGAACGACGAAGAATGGGGGAGACAGAAAAGGCAATTTATTGTAATAGCCCTTTAAGGTGACCAAACTCTAAAAAATTTAAGAGCTGGATGTAGTTTGGGCAACTGAAAGGGTCCTGTCCGTGTCACTGCTGTGTGGATGGATGGTCAGTCGAGGCTCTTGTCGTACAGCAGCAGGAGGAAGAAATTGGTTTTCTCTACAGGTGAGAGAAGCAGGTGATGGGCAAACCACATGGAAAAGGGTTTGCTAATAATAAAGCTGCAGATCTGAAACTGGACAAACTCAAAGCTGAAAACAGTTGGTTGTTTGGGTCTGCTGAGCAATGCCTCCTGTGAGCTGAGGACTGAGACCCCGCAAGGGAAATTTCAAAAATAATTCAGATTAAAACCCAGCTGTAGGGTAAAAATTCCACCTTACCATACATTACCACCCAGCTCAGGGGAAAAGGCTTACACCAGATCTGCTATACCAACATTCCCAGTGAAACCAAGCCCCATTACCCATGCTGGGTGCTGAGTTTCTCCAGCATGACCTGCCCAATACTTAAAGCCAGGTCCAAGAGGAATTTTTGGATTGTGGGGTGTTTTGCTGTGGTGGTTTTATTTCAAAGCCAATACTTTTTTTTAAAGCACAGATTATCTTTGACTTCCAGTTTGCGATCTCTAGATAACCTTCCTATTACTGTTACATCTCCTCCCCACACCAAGAAGCACTACACTATAAGTGAAAGCAGAAATTCTCATGTGATTATATGACTCCCAGCCGTTGTGGCTTTAAGACATTTGACTTTAAGACCTTTATCTTGCAATAGTGAGCTGGCGACACTTTCTGTATTGAAGCAGACTTCCTGCAGCATCATTCATAAAACGGGTGCAATACATTACTTTTCTAGTTTTCATGACAGCTACAAAGCAAAAGATTCAGGCTCAGTACAACAAACTACCATTGTAAGTTTTCATATTTTCACACTAATGCCAAAGAAAGTATCACCAATTTAATTTCAGCGGGCTTTCAGAGTGGTTTCAGCACTGCATTTGTCCTGAGCCACTGCCAAAGCGATTGTAAAACTGCAAACATTTTCCTATTTTTAAAGGTGGTTTTTCCCCTCTTCCTTTTTTTGTTGTGTTATGACAAAAAAAACCCAGCCAAACAAAATGAACTCACTGGATAGGAACTGCAGGAAACCGTGAAACTGATAGTACGACTGCAGACACCCGGGGTGGAAAAACCAGTGAGAGGTGTTACACCGGACAGCACAGACTGACTTTTCAGAGAGGTGTATTCTAACTGGTTGAATTTAAATAATTCTTTATCATGGCTTTAAGTAAAAACCTGGATTTTCCCAACAGCAAAAATTGCCCATTTTTACAAATCCATCTGTGCAGGTAATACTTTTTTTTCCCTTTATGAAAAGCATGGCTAGAATTCAGACTCAAGGAAGGAGGAGAGTGTGTGATTCACTGTCCCCTGTCCCCAGCTATACTGCTGCTTGGAAAATTGGCAGCAAAAGAGCTTCACTAAACTGGAATTAAACAGGAAAAATAAATAAGAAATAAAAAGAAAGATATGCAACCTTAAGAGAGGCTCTCAGGTAAATGCATGCTCGTGGCCCTACCATTAGGGAATTAACTCATTTCATGTGGCTAGATGCCACAGATTCCCAAGAGCAGAGCAGTGATGGAGCTGGGATAAGGCTTGGGAATGGACAGCACGGGTCACAGGGCTGGGCAGCAGCAAAATCAAAGGGAAAAATCAGAATAGGCTGTTATGTGGTACACGTTTCACACTAATGTGCAAAATCATGGTGGAAAAGGGACATTCTGCAGCAAAGACACTAGCTTTCTTTGGAAAAAAAACGTATTTTTAGCAATAAAAGTGCCTGTTCACTTATGAACCTTTATTCCTAGGTTGGTACTGATGGGGAAGCTATGCTACCTTTAAAATGCATTAGCTGTGCTTCAGGCCAACAGATCTTGATTTAAAAAAGAAAAAAAAAAAGTATTACAGAAGAAAGCAGTCTCAACAAGCAAGCGAGCAATCTCTGTAGTGGGGCTTGTTTCCTGCAGCTTTTAGAAGAGAAGAAAGTGAAAACTGATAATTGGTTACCAACGAACATTACCTGGTATGTGCTATAAGCCAGCAAGAAACACTGTCGCTGTAAATAACCTCTTCACTATTAGAACAGAAAAGGAAGAGAAAAAATTAACTTTGAGTGAAAGTTCCTCACTTAAATGGGGCAGCTTGAGCATCGGGGTTAGGGAGATGCTCTGAAGCCATCCCTTGCTGCCAGGCAGGAGGGCTGATATCAAGGCTCCTCACCTGCGCCCGGTGTGGGGAAGGGGCCGGTGCGGGGAAGGGGCCGGTGCTGCTGCTGCACCGGGCACCCCAGCGTGAGTGGACAAACTGCAGTCCCACGTGAGCCTGTGGGCTCGCTAAAGCCTCCTTCAGGAGGGTTTGTAGGTGTGACACAAAGACCCCTCGACTTGTAGGTTTGTTTAAAAGCAGGTGAAATATTTGGCTCACGAATGGCCAACAACACCTTCCTCCACGAGCAGGTCCGAAACCTTCCCGGGCAGCCTGCTGGGGCACCCCGGCTTGGTACAGTCAGCTTTCTGCAGTCTTTGCTTAGCGGAAGAAGAGAGCAACAAATGCACTTTCCTCGCAGGCTTTGAGCAAGTCAGAAGCGAGAGGAAGAATCCTGCAGTACACAGTGACCTTCGAAGCCCTGGGCCAGCGGAGACCCCAGGCAGGAGAAGCACACGTTACCACCCAAACCAGCTACGCCAGAGTCACGCCGAGGGTGGACTACAAGATAACAGTCACCGCCGAGAACTCAAGGGGCAGGTCCCCCCCTGCATCCATCGTGACCAACCTGAGCATCCAGGGTAAGGGCTTCTGCTTCGTCTGGACCACTGGGAGTAATACCAGTGCTCTGCTTTGTGCTACACACCATGGAATCGTTCAGGTCCTACCACCTGATACTCATCAAGGTCCATCTCAGTGAATCTTCAGGGATCTGCAGATACAGTTTTCAGTGTGGTCAGGGGTGCAGTTTCATGACATGTTAAGTTGCCCTGCATTAGTACTGCTGTAATTTCACCTTAACCCCTTCTGCTCACACAGGCGTAAGCCACGCCGTCAGCCATCCAGGAACCTGACACAGCAGAAAATTAACCATGCCAAAAACAAAAAAAAAAGTTTTTTTTTTTTTCATGAGAGAGGTGGCAGGACTGAAGGGAAGGTGATGGTGAGGGGAAATCGCACAAGTTTTATCTCCTGTGAAATTGCACTCTGTTGTACCTACACAGCAAAATTAACGAGCGTTCCTTGAACTCACCCAACCCCGAATTTCCTGTGCCGGTACCAGGCACGATGGAGCCTTGCGGTCTGAGGTGGTTTGTTCAAAGAGGCAGTTCTCTGTTTGCTCTTGTCCTGCTGTAACGTCAGTAAAACAGTGACAGAGCCACTGCCAAGTATTTCACCTTTTCCCAGTGCTGCACTGAACATCAACGGGATGCTCTCCTCCTTCGGAGGCAGATGCACAGCTCCTCAGCTTGCAGACTGAATTGGTCACGTGAGCCCCTTCATTACGTAGAGATAGGATTGGTGCAGAAATATCACTGGTATGTGGTTATTTGGAGGCAGTAGGACAAGAACTGCTTTGTGGGCTCAGTTCAATTGTATTTGTTAGAAAAACAGTTCAGAAAAGGTGCTGGTGTTTTTTATAATAGCGATGAAAATTTGGTGACTTTCCTAACATTTTCTCCTGTAAGAAAAAGTAACCTGGCCCTAGCTGTGAAAGCAAGAGCTTTGGTCTTGTGGAGATGGTGCGTGTTTGTGGCTCTGTCACAGGAGGAGGGTGTTGGTATGACAGTGTCCTCTCGGGGCTTGGGGATGGTATAAACAAGCAAAGCTCTGTATGTTCAAACTGCTGCACCGTGAGACAGGACAAGAATGTGGCTCTATTCCTATCAGCATAGAGATCGCCCTCATAAAAATACCTTTTCTTTCAATGGCAGTTTATTTTTATACATTGCATGGTGCCAAACTGGATGAGACACGGTAAAAACTGTATATCAAACTTACAAAGTCCACCTGAGGTTAAGGCAAGTTTGTGCTGACGGTGTCTTTTTTGTTCGGTTGTTCTTTCTCCCCTGTAAGACCTACCTCCTCCTCAGAAAGTCTCTGCTGTAGCCATGGGAAATAGCAGCATCCTCGTCAGCTGGAAACCCCCTGTCAGATCAACTGTGTCCATCAGCGGGTACGTGGTGGAGTGGGCAGACGCACAGAGGAACACGCGCCTGGAGTCCCATCCAGCCTGGGTAAAGCTTCCAGCATCCAACCTGTCCACAGTGTTAGCAGGTAACTGCCACCTCAAGGTAGGATGTTACTGAGGCACCATTTTATTTTGAAAGCTTTTTAAGGAACAAATCAGACTCTAATTTTTACTAATTCAGCATAAGAAATGATGGCATTTAAAGCTTTTTGTATGGGATTAAAAAAATAAAATCCGTGGCTTCTCTGGGCTCAGTTCCGCAGTCACTCTCAGCTGAGATTTATATCTGATAAGTAAAATGTCTCTTAAAAAAAACCAGTCCCTCCAAAATGAAACAAGCCAGCTAGAGGTACAAGAGATCAAAGGGTTAAGAAAAGACTATTTCCTTTCTGCTAATTGTCGGTTACTAATCCTAACCAGTACTACGCGTCAGCGTTCTGCACATTGGATAGCTATGAAGTTACGACGGGGGTGACAGCGAGCGTTACCCTCGTTAGTTTTTCTTGTCTTCTGTCCGGGTGCTGTGCCTCCGAGGTGTTTACATCCCTAATCTTGAATGAGCTGGAAAAAGCAGCGTATTCACGCCATCGCTTTGTGCTCGGCTTTGGAAAGGAGAGAAACGAGTTCCTGTTGACCTCCCGTAACCTGCGGGAACAGCCCAGGGAAGCATGCTCACATGAAGTCATGGGGAAGAAATAGGGTGTGAGATTCTCGTGCCTCCTAAATGACCTTACGCATAGCCAAACCCTGCACCTCGTATCTTACAGCAACAAGCTGGGTAATAGCTATTCGCCCCCTCGCTTTACCTGGAGCACAACACGTGGTCCCGGGTTTCCTTCGGAGGGTACAGGTCTGCCGGCAGCTCTTGCTTCATGAGGAGACGAGCGTGAACATCACTTGCTTTACACACAGTGAGGTTCTGCCAAGCTGAACAGGAGATCAGAGAGAACCATTTCTTTCCTTCTTTATGAAAGACGTGTTAATAAATCGGAAGATTCATCTCAGATTTAAGCAGCTAATGTAAATACTTTAGCCATGACTGTAAATACTTTAACTATTAACTCTACGCTTTTAATGTCTTTATTTAGAGCACATAAAAGATAATGTGTGCTATCAGATCAGCGTATTTGCACTCTATCGGGACAGAGCTGGACAAGTGGCATCAGTTAGGGGATACTCAAGAGCAAAAGGTAAGTCACAGTAATACTCTTCCAGGTATTTTTAAGCTAGCTTAAGTTCAGCTTTAAAAGCCAGTCTTATGTTTTGCAGCACCATCAGCTGGGCCCCAGATTTATACAACACCACGGGCAAACAGCATCTTGGTTTCATGGGAAGAAATCCCTGCCCACCAGCAAATGGGCTGCATCATAGAGTACCATATATACCTGCAGAAAAAGGACAGGGAGGAAGGCCCAGACGTCTACAGTAGGTATCTGGTGAAGACCAACGTGATGTGCATGTGCTGCGGGTAGAGGACAGAGGGGAGGGAGAGAGAGGTGCCTTCAGAAAGCTCTGTGTAGTCAGGGAGCCAGAGGCAGCTGGTCTGCCGTGAGGGTTAGCAGCCAGATTGAGAGTCAGCTCCCTCTGCTACAGCTGCCCATCAAAAGGACTACATGTTCAGGGCTTCCCGCTTTGAGTCAGATCACATTAAGTTATTTTGAATGTGGAACTATCAGATTTCTCTCTGCTTTTTTTATTATTTTTTTTTTCTTTTAGTTATTTTCTGGAGTCATAACCACTGCAGGCCCTTGTAATTATTGGCAGGGTAAAATAACAGACTTTCCAAAAGCCCTGCCCAACAAATGCATACTCGGCATGACACACTGAGACACGCTCGGCAGGCAGCACCCACTGCATTCCCACACCCACACGCTTTTCCCACCCAAGCCCTCTCTCACTCTGTCTGCCTAACTCCCAGGCTTCCACCCAAGAAATGTTGTTGGGGTTTTTTTAAACTTCATGTGGAAGTTGCATGACTGTTTTTAATGGATCATTATGAAACATTAACTTACCAAGCAACAGTAGTCGGAGGACAGGCTGTGCAGTCCTAGGTGTCCCATCTATACAATGGCACAGGTCACCCCTATAGCATAGGGTCTCGTATAGCCCTTCCAGTGATTCAGTAACATAGAAAAGGAAATTAGTTAAAGTAACAAATACCTCTCCGTGTTCCAAGCCCTGGAAACCCAGTTCATTGACGTTAAATGCAGCAAAGGCGCTTCATTTGCTTCTCCCCCTTTTCCTTCCAGCCATTTCCAATGCGACTGCCCAGCGCTCGTTGTACATCACCGACCTGCAGCCCGGTGAGCACTATGCCCTGTGGATGACAGCATTGACAGCTGCTGGAGAGGGGCCCTGGGGCAACAGCGAGCTCGTCTGCTTGGAAAGTATGAGTCTTTGCTGGGGTGGGAGGCCAGGAGAGGTCCTAGCCCCTGGCCCCCTGTTTTCCACAGAGTGGAAATGCTTTCCACTACTCTTCGATTACTGAAGATCTCTAGTTTCCAAAAGTTTTAAAATGTAGCATCTCTTCATCTTCAAGCTCCCAGTTTTGTGCCAAGACATTAGCTGTATCATGTAATAGTAGTTGAAGGTCAGCAGGATGGTCTATTGTGAAGGGGGAAAGAAGGGTTTGGTCCCTTCGAGTTGCTGGCCCAGATAGCTGTGCGCTTCAAGCTCTGGCACAGGTATCCATGCAGAAAGTCCTGCTGACCTCCACACCTCCCATGGGTCGGTGGCTCTCTGAGGACCTGCGGTCACTAAAGCAGCCGTGACCTCAGAGCCTTCTTGAGGAGCACAGCATCGTGTGTGTGGTCCCTGTTCCTGTGCCTCCCAGGGGATGCAAAAGCAAGACCTTCTCCCAAAGGCTTCTGACCACAGCTAACGGCAGTCATCAGGGCTTCTGTCCTGCAGGATGGATTGCTTTGATCAAATTTGTTGTAAGCCCAGGTCAAGACAAATGATCACTAAACCCCAAGAAAAGAGTTGATAAAATTTGTGTTGAAGTATTGCCAGAGAGTTTGTTTTGCTGCATTTCCTCCCTAGCAACGTGCCACGACAACAACTTTAAGCTCCCGAGTCGTGTATGTTAGGAAATTCATCTCTGCAGCGTAGGAGCAGGGCTTCTCTGGAGGCAGGTTTCTCCCACGGACTGCGGGAGAAATCCAGGGAGGTGAGCAGGAGAGGAAATTAAAGCAATCCAAACAAGTTAAAAGTTTTCCTGGTATAAAATCTGGATTTGTGAAAATTACATTTTAAGCAGGTAGTGAAACTACGCTAAAGCCAAGGTGTTCACTGAGAAACAGTTCAGTCACTGACAGTTCATTAAAGACGCGCTGAATTTTGTAAGATCTTTCCTAGTTAACACCTCTCTGCTGCATGCACCACCCCAAGTTTACGTCCTCTCTCAATGTTTGGTTCAGTACTGGAGGAGAGATCAGCAATTGCATGCTTTGGGTTGTGGACTGCGTATCTCAAGAGATGCTGGTAGACATCTTTATCTTACAAAGTATGGTCGTCCCCAGCAGTCCATCCAGATTCCTGACTTTGAACCAAAAAATATCGGTATGTTTTATGAGTGCAAACACTAGTCAGGCCACGACTGTTGTCCAACTTGAACTAGCATATTTAAATTTTTTATTTTTTTAATAAAGGTGAATGATGGGTCTTCTGTATTTCAGGTGCTGGGGACTGGATGACTGTTGTGCTTACCTGCAGCTTCTTCATCTTGTCAGCCTGCATTTGTTCTGTGCCTCCAGCAAGAAAAGCGTGAGTGGATCCATCTGTTACGTTCCAATAGAACGGAGAGCTGTTATTAGAAGTGATAGTCATGTCCTTTCAGGACACCTTGGGCAAGCGAGGATTGTTCTGAATAAAGGCTTCAGAGTACACAAATGATATTAAGAACACCCGTTGAGCTTAAAATATAGCCTTATTTCATATATATTGTGAATTTTTAACCTAGAGCTTAAGGTCTGCTTCCACCGAAACAAAACTGAAGGGTTACAATCCTTGGCAATTAACCTGGGAGCAAAATTAAACCCCGAGATTAAAAACTGTTTTACTTTAGAGCAACACGCACATGTCCCCAGCCAAATTTTCCAGGAGTGGGGCTCACGGCCGTATCCAGCAAGCTGTGCCCGCAGGGCTGCTGTTAATCATCGCAGGAGGATGCTGGGCACCACTCACCTCTGCTCAAGAGCTGCACAGCCCCGTCAGCCAACCTGCTCCCCGCCCAGCCGGGGTCCCCGCAGGTCCCTGCTAAGGCAGAGTCACGATTACGCCGAGCTCTTTGGTGATCGCACGCACAAACAGCACATCGGTGCTGCAGGTATCAGCATTCGTGCTTTTAATTGCACTTATTCAATCTGCAGATTACACTCGCTCCTCTCTGCACTTATGCCGCAGTGGCAGAGCAAAGCCATTCCAGACCCAGCTAACGCGACATGGGCTAAGAACTACATGTCTATGAAGGTAAATTGTACTTTTTTTTTTTTTCTTCCAATCCCCTCACCTTCAGAAGAAAAAGCAATTGGAGCCATGCAAGTCAGTAATCTCTTAATGCAGCAAATCCAGCAATCTCTGATAGTGGATAATCTCTGTTCTCATATCACCTTAGACTGTAGGATGGATCGGGCAAGTGAAATGCAAGAACAATGGAGAGATCTTCCATTTTTAGCAGTATTAGCTGCTGGGGAGGGAATGCTTGCGTTGTGGGGGTGGGAGGTTGCAGGCTATCGATCACATAAGTAATTATCGCTGTGTGGCACGTGCCCCTCCACAGGCCGAGCTGAGCTTGCCCTCCAGCCTGTTCCTGCATGGTGCCGGCAGCTTTGAAGAGCCCGAAACAACAGAAGTCGAGGAAGCCTTCGTGAAAGCCGACCCCCTGGCCCTCCAGGACAAGCTCCTCCTCAGCACTGTTGGCAGCAGGGGAAGCGTCTGGCCGCCGGAGAGCGGCTTGGGGCACGAGGAGCCGGAGTACAAGCCTCTGCCCAGCACGGCAGAGGGAGAGGGTTATGAGCAGCAGCTTCCCGACCTCTACAAGAGGATAGTGGTGGAGGTGACGGAGCACGCGCAGACCGTTTCCGAGTACATCACCAACCCCGTCACCGACAAGGCCACTGCGTACCTACCCCTGGTTACAGACACTACTGAAGGCCACCCTGAACTCGAGTGCAATCCACTCTCCATCTTCCCAACAACTTTTTTGACACCCGTACTTTCCTATGAAGGGAATCTTACTTTGGATACAGTGAAAATAAACTGCAGCTCTTTCACAAGGTAGGCAGTCAGGGTGATCTAAAGCCTGGCCTGATATTTTTGCACTTTACTGAAGTATTTCAGTGTGTTTCAGTACAGCCAGTCCAGTAACTTGCATGTGACACCTTTAAGTAATAAAAAAACCCAACTCAACCACCTTTCCAGCACTGCAAGTCACACCTTAACTGTACAATACAGCAGCTCCACATCCACCCACCACGCTCAGGTAGAATTAAAGACAGAAGATCAGGAACGCCAGGGCTACATGGCCCAGCTTTTGGAGAGGTTAATTAATTACTCGGATGCCTTCATGCTGCCTGGGTTGCCTCAGGCCCCTGTCCCACTGCCTGATCACGAGTGGCTCAACCTGGCTCGGTCCACCCCAGCAGTCAGAGATGTGCTAACCATCATTTCCACTGCTGCTCGCCCAGGAAGAGCAAGGAGTTACGCCAGGGCCAGACCTCAGCGTCCCAGCAGGACCACGGCTGCAGCCCTTGCTCCTCCAGCTGTGCACAGCAGGTTAGCGATGCAGCATGGGGACATCCACATCCACGGGTGCTAAACCTAACACCCACCAGCCCACAGGTGGCATTCCTCGCTGCAGCCCCAGCACCAAGTCGCATTGTCCCCAGTGACACCAGTGCTACAGCTCGTGTGGGTATCGAGGGCCACAGCTGCAGCAGGGCTGGCAGCTCAGCCAGGGCCAGCCTGCCTCCGTGGCTCAGTTCAGCAAAGGAGAAATCCTCACCAGAAATAAAAGCAACAGGCAGTGCATGTACACAAGAAGTCAAATGGACTGGTGAGAATTTAAATCATTTATTGAAGTATTCTAATTACAGGTTTGAAGTATGTGTTACACATTTAATGACTTTGTTTACTATATGTGTATACATATAAATAAAATGTTGGAAACCTTTGTTTCCTGTTGTTTTCTCTGGTCAAGCTCAAGTGCTACGCTGCAGCTATACACAGAATAAGGGGTCTTTAAAAACAAAGCCGAAGCGTTGCTGCTAAAGATGAGGTAGTCCAGACCTGAACTTACCTGGAGCATCCTCCTCTTACCCAGGATCAGGTGGCTGCTCTCCATCCACAGCTGGCTACACAAGCCATTGATGAAACCCTCCTGTGATACCACCATCTCAGAGCACCTCCATGAACAGCTGTTATCCGACTCAGTGAGGAAACGGCCCTCGGCAGCCCTGCAAAGGTCTCCTTGCACAACAGTGACAGAGATGCACCTGCCTCACCAGGCTGCTACCTCAAGGCCGTGGCTTTCCCCATTGCCTTTCGCTTGAAGTGAAAAGCAAACCCAAAGTGCTGGGTTTGGGAGATCTCTGTTGGCTTGTTCCCCCCGTTTCACTCCAGGTGTGGCTATGTTACCTTCTACAGGAGGCCCACACGCTCTGGTGTTCCCGAGTTCAAAGGCACTGCAGGACAAGCCTGTAACTGTTAATAACCGGGCACAGGCTGCCTTCTGAGCCAGCGCCAGATGGGTTGGGGTTATTTGCATTACTTGGTTTGTCGAGGTCTGTAACCTCCATCTGCACTGCAACACCACCTCTGCAGTGGGGGGAGTCTATGAAAATACTTGTGTGCACGTGAGTTTTAAGGTTGCTTAGGAACGTGAAATTCAAGCCCTGGCACCAGTTCTCCTTGTGTTCAGCTTTCAGTGACTTCTCTGCACTTCCCTGCAATGCCCAGAGTGCTTCCCTTTGATCAACACAAGTGATCGCAAGCACCCTGGCTCTTCTCAAACCTTTGCTTTCCAGTCTTCTGTTTCTGTGTATTGAAAACAAAATAAAACCATCAGCAATGATTTAGCTGTTGCTAGACCACAGCCACATGTATTCCCAGGAAGATGCATCCTGGTAAAGGCGGAGCAGCTCTGCTGCCCGAGCCGCC